TATCGCTTATATCCACACGATTTGGTGTGATATGGGTGTGATAATCATGTGATTATCATACAATTATCACATTATCGTTTATATCAACATGATTTAGTGTGATTTGGGTGTGATAATCATGTGATTATCACACAATTATCACAAGGATTCCGGGCTAGGGTTAACTTAAAAAATCGACTACCGATTTGGTGTGATATATGTGTGATTTGGAGACGCATGAATGAAGGAGAAGAAGATGTGGACACGTGAAGATAAACATGATTAATTAAAATAAAATAAAAATTATAAAAATTACTTAATTACATTACTGCCCTTATTAAATTATTTATATATAATAAAAGTTAATTTATTAATTAAAAAAGTTTGTGGTTATTGAGTTGTTCTCGCGTTTTCGTAAATCACAGGGGTTCTCGTTTGAACCTCCACCTATATATATATATATATATATATATATATATATAACTTTAAAGAATGATAATTAATATATTGAAATAAAGATGATAAAAATCCAAGTAAGTTAATTAGAGATAATGTTGAATTTAGTGAATAATTTGTAGTGGCAGAAATTACAAAAAAAGAGGCAGAAAGAATTTAGAGTACATCTCAAAAATGTTGGTTAAAACTCGGCTAAAAGACTACCTCGTAAGATGGAATATACGATCCATGATTGATTGGGTTTAGACCCAACAAATGCCGGCATATTTTCAACTACACCCCTCGTACTTTTACAACTTGCAACAACAAGGACAAAATACAAACCTGGAAGTTTCTTGGAAACTGATTGCAATGATATAAGTGGTGGGGGAGAAGGAGGTAATGCCATGTTGGCTTCGTATTTCTGTCTTCATTCTCACCAATCCAACCTAATTAATCAATCAATTAATGGGTCTTTCATTTTTCATAACGTAACATATGGTATCCTATGCCATCTTCATTATTCGTTTCTATAAATTTATAACAAATGTAACAAATAAATCCACACACCATCCTCATCTTTGATGAGGTTTGAGCCATTGACTTCTTACGAGGCCAAAGACTACGATACCGTTAGACCATTTGGTTCCATCAATTTTTTTATAATCATTTTAACTTAATAATTTAACAATTATGTCATTAAATACTATAGATTATGGAATTATTATGAAATAGAAAATTTTGGATCTTTGTTTATATTGAGTGAAAAATAGTAGTCTTTTTTACTAAATAAAAATAGGTCAAATTTCGTTGCATTTTGCTAAACGAAGTAAAAACAAAATTTTAAATTAATCTTAACAATGATTGGATTATAATAATTATAATCAATTTTCGGTGCTCGTTACCCTTATTTTCTTCTTTTTATTCTATCAATGACCTATTGTCTTAAAGTTTTCGATCTCGTTTATGTACTCCACTAATCACTTGAATCAATAAATGTCATTATTTAATTTAATATGAGTTTATTTAATTCATCGATTTTTCTATTATCTTTTTATAATAAAACGAAGACAATGTCATTGATTGATGAAAAAATACATAAAATTTAAGAGCAACATATTTTTATTCATTTTCAAATAATATTAAAAGGGGGTAAATGTGCATGTGTGAATTAATGTATGCTAACATTGTGTTCTCGAAAGACTGGAAAAGTAAAAATAACTCTTGTTTTCAAAACCTTTTTTTGAGAGAAAAAAAAGTAAACGAAAAGAAAGAAATCACAAGTTTCTTCCCAAAACTTTTCTTCGAGAATAAAAGGAAAAGAAAAAGATTATTAAAATTACAAAATTATCCAACTTTTTATAATAAAGAACATATTTTTAAAGATTATATTTATAAAAGAGACACATTTCATTTCTCTTCAATTGCATGAAAAATTGTTTTCTTTCCTTTCGAAAACACAAATAAAAACATTATTTTTCTTCCCTTTTTTTTCATTAATTTCTTTTCTTTTATTTTCTCCCTGAAGGCCAATTTCTTAGGGGTATTTATGGGATTTAACTTTTAACATAAATTTTAAATTGATGATAGATTATTCAATGATAAAAAAGTATAAACCTGTGATAGAAATACTATAAATCACTTATCAAAATCAAATATTAATTTGTGACAATATGATATAAGTTGATGGTAAAAAGTAAATCATATCCCCCAAACACACAAAGAGAACGACTAATGACACCAATTTGATGTGAAATCAAATAAAACTTAACATGTTTGTGGCTGAAAAAGAGGAAAGAAATTAGGGGGGAAAGTTATATACACCTTAGGCCTTAGTCATTATGTATGCTAAAAGTTTTCAATTTATAATAATTAAGTAGTTTGTGGATATGAAACTATGCAAATATTTCAAAAAGAAAATGATGTCTAATTTAGTATAATGTATCTTTAGTCACTTTGTTGTGTATTTGTTTTTTTTTTTATTATAATTTATATAAATGTTGAATTAAATATGTAATTGATTTTATTTGTAATACTTGAATATTTTACTTTATAAATAGAGTTTAAATTTATTTTGTACTTAAAGTATGTTTTAGTTGGTTTTAAAGAATTTAAGTATATATACCTTTAAAAAACTATACTTAATGAATAATATTAATCAACAAATTGAGCTCATTAGACCCATAATTGTTGGCATAAGAAATACGAAAGTGAAATGTCGGTAAGACAAAGGATGTGTGAGAATTAATAGGAGTTAAAATGAGAAGTGTAAAAAAAGATTTAAACTATTTATCACTTTTAATTAGTGTTGATCAATGGTTTAGATTAGGTTCTAAAATATCCCATGATTTATCTTAAAAAACTATTTTCAATTGATCATTAATTAAAATTGATTTAAAGGTGAAAAATCATTTTAGCATTTTCACGATAACTCCTATTGAAAATCAACTCATGTCGGATGGCCATAGGGCTTTTTAGGAGCTTTGGCCCCTGGGCTTTTTTTTCCCAAACATATCCGGTCCATTAAGGTTTTAAGTATAAAGTTCTTTTGAACCTCTTTACCATACCGATTTAGTCCATTTGTGTTCCACCTCTGCTCATTACGGTAAACATCCCAATTAGGATGAACTAATTAAGGTGTCTTACATTTTTCTTTAATGCAAAGTATTTTAAAAATAGATTATTTTTAACTTATCCAAACGTTGAATTGGACAAAAAAATGAAGATTTAAATGCGGGAGAAAAAGAGAGGATAAGAAGTGACTCAATATCGTACAAATTAAAGAAGACTGTTAAGGAAGCTCTCTCTCTCTCATCTCTCTCATCTCTCTCTCTCAGCCATGTCTAATGAACCTGAGTCTACCCTAAAGTCCATCACAGAACCTGCTGATGATCAAAAGGGCGATGATGAATCATCAAAGTCGAACAAGAACCAGCAGCTGGTGGCAGAAGACGACGACGATTCATGTAAAACTCCAACCTCGGATGATCACAAGATCCAACCACCATACTCTTCCCAATTGCCGCCACCACCGCCACGTAAATTCTTACAGAAGAGAAGAAGGAGATCATCTGATGATGATGGAACAACAACAGAATTCTTTGAAAACACGAGGCGCCAAGAGGTAGATGCGTTTTTCCGATGGTTTAACGTTAGGGTTTCTTCGTCTTCCTGCAAGAAAAGCCGCCGTAGTCAAAGTATATGATTTATATATATCTTTTCAAACTGTTACATTTATACATGAATATAATCAATATTACATATGATCGGAAGCATACATACATATATATATATATATATATATATATATTGATTCTTTCGATCAAATATATATATTCGTGAATACTATTTTGATATCTTTTATCTTTATCTAATGAATTTAAGCTTGAATTTTCAAGATAAATTACGACCATTGTAAGTGTTAAAAAAGAATATACTCCACGTTAGAAAGTAGAAATTAAACATTGAAATATATAACAAGTTCAATCGAAATCCATACATGTATGATCAAGGAAGATCAAAGTAGAATACTAATTGGATATGGAGAGTTGATATACATACATACATATATATATATATATATACATACACACACACATATATATATATATATATATATATATATGTGTGTGTGTGTGTGTATGTAGTGCAAAAATAAGTGTTCCAAGATCGAAAATGGTGTTGAACAAGAGATGGAGTTGTTTCTCGATTGGCAAATCAAAAGCCATCAATTACATTATGATAAATACACAAGCCATCATATTAATGTAGCACAAAATCAATAAACCAAATATCACAAAGTTAAACATTTGATGTATCTCCAAGTTCAAATCCAAGGAGGAATAAAATTCCTCTTGTGGTTACGGAAGTTCAAATGCGGTGACTCCAGGCTATCTGCAAAGCAAAACAGGTGGTCGTCCTGGGATTAGTCGGTTCACATAACAGGTTAGATATCCAAGTTAATAAAAAAACATTTGATGTATCCAACACGTTTTGCTGTTTTCAGAAGAAAAAAAAAACATAATACCAAATATACATTAGATGCCAAATTACATTACATTATATATTGTTTTGGATGCAAGGAAAGTTGATATAAATTAAATATCATATCTTTGACAGTTAACAAGGTTTGATCATATCATTCTATACATTTCAACTTTGAAAATGCCAACACATCTTGTTGGTTTAAAACCTGAATCTCTAGCCAGCTCTAATACAATTTAATTCAGACCTAAATACCAGTATACCACACTGTTGTGAATTTGGCTTAGAGGCTGTTTTCCGAACGTTTACTCGGGTAAGTGAACATCAAGTCTCATTATCTTACCGGATGAATATGGTAAGGACCAAAAATCTTACCCGGTAAGAGCGAGATAAAGACCAAGAGTCTTACCTGATAAGTGAGTGCGACGACTCTTACCACGATAAACGTTTACCGGATAAATTGTTGCATACAATATCGTTTTGATGGACTAAAATCCTACCTAGTAAGTAAATGATAGTATTAAATTTACCGATAAACGCTTTCCGGATAAATGTTTGGTCAACGACCCCTTACTTTTACAGACTCTTTACCAATTGCCTAAACGTATAATTGTTTACGTTTACATGGTAAATAATATCTAAAGGGTTGTTTGGTTGATTTACCGTTAAGTCTTGTATAAATAAATTTATTTGTATGGATTAATCTGTTTGTACAGTTTGTGAGAGTTTTTTTTATAGATGAACACTATAAATCCATTGACTTTTACCAACAAAAACCATTCAGAGAAATTTATGTTGGTGATTACTAAATGATCACTTAAAAAATACCAATGATTTTGATATAATCAGATGTTTTCCAGAAAATACCAACAGATCGCCTGGAGAATGCCTCTGAAATCTGTCACTGATTTAAGTTTCCTACCAACAATTTACCCAACTTTTGTGACGGTTTTGTAGCGAATCGCCCTTTAGCGACAATTTTTCATGGAAAATCCGTATGTACAAGTCTTCCATTTAGTAGTGGAAAGAAACATATTTTTAATTGGGAAATGCAAGTTCTGGAAAAGACTTGGTTTTCTATATAATACTCCCTTAGAAACTTACTATATCAAATCACTATCAAACAATCATGTATAACTTACAAACTAACATTTAGATCTCATTAAGCTCATCACAAAGAAGACTTAAGTCTTAATAACTATGCAATCTATATAATAATATAATATGATGTTTTATAAAACCAATTTTATTATAATAATATATTAATTAAGTTAATTTTCTGGAAGTAGGCGATCGACCCAATGAATATTTGATGTCCCCAAATTCCTTTCTATGTCCACACTAATCACCTGAGAGCTTCTCCAAAATTTTAGTGAAAGGAGATTGAGATTTAAAAAAAATTAAAATAAAAATACATTTAACCATAACAGATTATTTAATTTTTGAGGTTACAAAATATTGATTATATTATTGAAATATTACATTCATGTAATAAAATATTATTTTTTTTCTTAAATATTTATTTTCAAAATTTCTTATTGGTGGAAATATATTTAAAAATATTTATTTTTTATTGCAATCATTTTTAGGGTGTTCTCCAAATTTAGGGATTTTTAGGTGACATTTGTTTTTTAAGAGGTCTTGAAGTCTTTTTTGACTTATGACTTATAAGAGGTGGTGCTGAAGTCTGAAATCTGAATCAATAAAACTGAGTGTTTTGTAAACTGATAAACTCTTAAATTCGTTTAAATTGTGTATTTTACCCATTAAAAATTATAGTGTTGAATTTATAGATAAATTTATACAAGTTCATATATTTATTCATCATCGTTATAAAATTTAAATCTAAATTATATAATTAACATTCATTTAAACGAAAATATGACATTTAAGATATTTAACACATTTAAATCATATTAAAATACAACAATTGAGAGAGGTGAGGATTGATTTGGTAAGGATCGATTGGAAGAAATGATTGATTAAGGTTAATCGATTGAGATACGCCATTATTAAGGGTTTGAAGAAACAATAAGAGATAAATAAGATGTTGGTTTACCTTTTACCATATAAGAAGACAATAAGAAATAATTAAGTGTTTCTAAAAAATTGGAAAAAACAAATAGTTTGAATAGTTTTACCTCTTAACGAATCAGATATAAAATATTGATAAAAGTTTTTTTTTTTTATAAAAACCAACAAGGCCCTCTCGTACTTTTTTTTATTTTGAAGAAAGTTTTTAGAGAATCTATTGAAATAAAAAAAAAAACATAACCAAAATCTTTATTTTATTTATTTTGAATAATTTGTTGGAGATGTTTTGAAATATCATCTATTTATTAAGAAAAGAGAACAGAACAAAAATAAAATTAATAAAATTATTTTAAATAAAAGAAGAGCATGTTTTAAAATAATTGGTGGAGTAGACTAACAAACAAATTTTGGACAACAAATTTTTTTTCATGACCCAACACAAGACCTCTTAGATGGGGACGTGGATCTCTCTACCACAAAGCTTCAAGCATCTCGCCAATGTCTGCAATTTGCCAATTTGGCTCCCACCTGGTGGCCTGCCTCTTCATATTTACCCCAACTAATTAACTTTAAAATAATATTACTAAGTGGCAAGTGAACACCAAGTTAATTTACCTTACCGGATGAATATGATAAGGATCAATAATCTTATATTATTCGATAAGAGCGAGACAAGAACCACGAGTCTTACCCGGTAAGTGAAGGCGTCGACTCTTACCACGGTAATCGCTTACCGGGTGAATTGTTGCATACGATATATACCGTTTTGGTGGACTAAAATCTTATCCGGTAAGTAAATGATAGTGTTAAATTTACTGGTAAGCGCTTATCGGGTAAGTGTTTGGTAAACGTCCCCTAACTTACAACAAATATCATATGTTTTATTTAATTTGTCTATTTGGAACACATATTAATAATTTACTGAAAAAGAATCCTGTTTTAATAACAGTAAACTAACTTGTTTGAGAAGTTATCGGAAAATTTTCTTATTTTTTTCAATCATGTATTTTTTATGTATCCAAATAATTTTTTACCATGTCTTACTAGGCAACTTTGCATTATCATTTTTACCAAATATGATTGATTTATTAGCTAACAACTAACTTATCAACAAATATCATATTTTTTAGCTATTGGTTGATAAATTATCAGTTAATTTGTCAAACACAACTTGATTGACTTATCACTTGCGTGATCATGACTTTCTAAATTCAAATTTCGTATTTGATTTTATTCTATCAATTAGATGAATTAGGTTATGATGAAAAGAATATAAAAAAATAATCTCAACTTTTGAATCATTCTTAAGTGAAAATAATCATTAGAATAATTATCTTTTAAAACGTAATTTCTGGATTGTTTTGAGATTAAAAGTGATCAAAGATTTAAATCTCTTTTTTACATTTTTCAGTTTAGCTTCTATCCTTACCGGATCATTTGTCTTAGTTAGAAAGTGGAAATAATTACACGAATAAAAATTTGAGTTCACCTGACCTTTCATGTTGTTGGAAATTAAAAAAAAAAATTACGAAGAAAGGGGCAGTTTGGTAAATTCTCCTTGCTATTAGGTGGTCATTGTTTGCCTGTGGTCGTGCTCTCCATGTTGGATGGTCTAGTCCAAGTCTCTACCGGATTATTACGGGAAAAAACAAATTAAATCGGGTCGGCTGGGTCCGACTCTCCCAAAACATGGCTTAGCCTGCAACGTCCCAATAATCCCCAGCTCACCTTTTTACAATTATTTTATTAAAAAATAAATTTAAAACAATGTCAAAATAAACACATTTGATAGTCTATATTATATGATACCACATTATATCTATGAACTTAGTGGGTTCAACGATACAATAGATCTGTCAAAAAAAAAATAAAGAAAGAAGGAGCGAAGTTATTACTTTATGTGGTATCTCTCCAATTTACAAGGATATTGCTTGATTGGTTTGAGCTTGAGTTCAAAAGTCAAAAGTATCAAGAGATCTAAAGTTCAAATCCATGGATAAATAAAAATCTCTTGTGGCCACGGAGATTCAAATGCGGTAACTCCGGGCTATCTGCAAAACAAGTGGTCGTCCTGAAATTAGTCGGCTCGCATAGCGGGTTGGATATCCATGTTAATAAAAAAAAAGACTAAAAAGATATAAAAAGGTAAAATAGGAGATGAAAATGTAAATTTTTACACAGTTATGCACTAGCTATTAGCTAACGATATAAGAAATAAAATAAAGGTTCATT